CATTGGGCTCCCTGCTCAGCAGGGCGTCTGCTTCTCCCTCTGCCCCTGCCCCCTGCTCATGCTCTTTCTCTCTCTCTCTTAAATAAATAAATAAAATCTTTAAAAAAACAAAAGGTCTTTGAGGAGCGCTTGGGTGGCTCAGTCAGTTAAGCATCCAAATCTTGATCTCAGCTCAGGTCTTTGATCTCAGGGTCCTGAATTCAAGCCCCATATTGGGTTTCACACTGGGTGAGGAGCCTACTTAAAAGAAAATCAGGGCAGCTGGGTGAATCAGTCAGTTAAGCATCTGCCTTTGGCTCAGGTCATGATCTCAAGGTCCTGGGATCAAGCCCTGGGGCGGGCTCCCTGCTCAGTGGAGAGTCTGCTTCTCCCTCTGCCTCTTCCCTCGCTCACGCTCTCTCATAAATAAAATCTTTTAAAAAAAATAAAAAATAAATCTTTGAATCAAAAGCTTTATGAAACGAAAAATGAAAGTTTGGTAACTCTTTTAGATTGCAGTCAAAAGACAGTTAAGCAAATCCTCAGTTTGGAAATGTTAACACATCTCATTTAGGTCTTGGTTTTTTAGATGTTTCTTGTGCTTTTATGGTCTTATTCATTATACTTCCTATTACTGCCAGTCATTTCAAGGGACCCTTCAAACTACTCAAATATAGAGTAGTATTGACCTTCCTACTCAATGCAGGAACAGAGATAGAACCAGACTACGACATACCCCAGAAGTTTCAGTCTCCCGGTCCAGGGCCTTAAATAGCTTTTAAGCTAATCACAGTGAACATGGGTCCTTTAAGTAATGTTTATATGAAGAGGCAATAGGAAAGGCTGACTTCAGTGCTCGCTTCGGCAGCACATATACTAAAATTGAAAAGGCTGACTTCATATCATGAAGTAAATGTATTAACTCAAAAGCAAAATAAATAACCTGTATAAGATAATAGAGAAAAAAACCCAAAAATGACAGCTTGGGTAGTCTTCATTTTTATTTTTAATAAAGTCTCATAACTATAAATAATTGCAGATTTTTCTCCATAGATACCTTGTTTTTTTTGATTCAGACATACCTGTTCTTCATGGTTAAACATTTCTGAAATTTGCATGTAGTTTACAGTGCATGTGTACAGGTTTCCTTGCTGTCAGAAAGTAGATCATTCCTAAGAAACCTTTTTTTTTTTTTTAAGTAGGTGCCATGCCCAGCATGGAGCCCAATGCAGGGGCTCAAACTCCTGACCGTGAGATTGAGACCTGAGCTGAAATCAAAAGTCTGATGCTCAACCGACTGAGCCACCCAGGTGCCGCCTATGCAGCCTTTTAAAATTGGTGTAAAGTGAAGAAACAATTACCATTAATTTATATGGAAAATTTTTTTAGAATTCCCAGACCCAAAAAGTCACCTCCCTTAGGCTTTTCTGATACCTAAGGACATATCTTGCTAATGGATACACAGAATAGATCAAAATAAAGCACAGATGCTCACAAACACAGTTCAAAGCCATGGCAGCTGGATGCTGAGGTGCTGAGTGCAGTTTGTGGAGGAGCAACTTGGCGGGGCCACTCTTAATGCCTTTGTAACAGCTCGTGGCAAAACACACTGAATGCTATTTGCGCTTTTCACCTTTTTTCATAATCAAAAATCCTCTTCAGATTTCTTCTGGTTAGAAAAACAGGTACTAATGTAGGTCTTTCATAAAAGTGAAGTAATGTAATATAAATTTTTAAAAAGCAAGTGGGGGGCACCTGAATAGCTCAGTTGGTTAAGCCTCTGACTCTTGATTTCAGCTTAGGTCATGATCTCAGGGTCTTGAGATTGAGCCCCACATCCATGCTAGGTGTGGAGCCTGCTTAAGATTGTCTCTCTCCTTCTCCCTTTGCCCCTCCCCCTCTCATGCTGTCTCTCTTAAAAAAAAAAAAAAAGCGAAAGGTACCTATATTTAAATGGCAGTGATCCTGCAGCCTTCTTACCCTGCCCAAGAAACTTTTAAATTGTGTGTTTTATTATCAATTTTGTCTTTGAGTCTTGGAAATATGGTAAATAATGTTTCTGGGTAAATTTTGAGAGCAAAATTTGTTTACAAAGTGACTCATAGAATACTTGAGAGCAATATTTCCCTAAGCATTTTTTTCGTAATACCATATATATCATGTATATAATATGGTACTATCAGTTCCTGTGTTAGTGTTCTGAAAACGGGATAGAGATGCTCAATGGTTAAGTAAGTTTGGAAAATGCATCTTACTTTTAGAGCCTCATGATGGATAAAAAGCCCATTAGGCTCTGAGAAAGACTGGTTTAAAAAATCAAAACTCTTTCAAAAATCTGTTTTAACCAAGTATTTTCCAAACTTTTCTGACCCCCAAATACTTTTTTTGTTAACACCTACTAGCACTCCATTTTGGAAAATACTGCTGTGTAAGGTTGATTAATGTAAATATTAGAACAAAACATTTTTATCAGGTCATTTTAAATACTTGCCCATTGCAAATTAAAAAGACAACTAATAATTCTGTGATCCGTGTATCTAGTGTCACAAGAACCTTTTCAAAGGCAGAGCGGGCTAGACTAGATTGTCAGCTTAGTCAGACGTGGTCTTTAACTGCCTTCAGTAGTACAGTAGCCATGTGCTGCCCAGTCAGTATTAGCCCTTGATTCATTTCACAGATTTGTACATCAGTCCAGTTGCTGGACTTTGGAGTCATATATCTGAGCAATGGAAATTCTGATGTAATATATCACAGCTTGTCCATTCTGGCACTGCAGTTTTATTCTGTAACTCACTGCACCTACTTTTTTAGACTTTATTATCAATTTAAATATATTGGTCAAGTGTCAGAACTGCTGGATCTTCTTGTACTGTTCTTCTGTATTTATTATAGCCTATTTGTAGTAAATCTCTGGGGGGAGTCATAGAGCTGGGATAAATCTGCCCCTTCCCTATGTTCTACCGGAGAAAGGAGGGAGTTAGGTAGTTCTTACAAGTGAAGGTGAACCCTACTGTCCTCGAAGTAAAAGACATCTTCACCTTGGGTAACGGAAGCTGTAAAATATTAACCAGACATGTTTTTTCTCACATTCAGTAATCATTTATTAAATGCCCAGTTTGTACTAGGTAACTCTGCCAAGTGTGGGATTTAAAAAGTGAAAAGCAACCAATCCTTTCCCCTCTCAGAGTTGACTGTAACTGGTGAGACATGGTTGTATAAATGATAAGTATTCACAACGCAGTGTGCTTACTATTTTTTTTTTTTTTTAGTGAGTAAAGCGATAGAAGTTAGTGAAGATACAGAAAAAGCTCTCAAGAGTGAGAGGGGTCCCAACAGGGTTGCCCACAATGTGCTTACTATTATAAGAAGTAGATAAAGGAGGCTCTGGGGACCCATAACTCAGATAATGAGTTTGGTGAAGTAAGTAGAAAGTCTGAGCCTAGTGGGTAAATAGCATTTGGTTATGCAGGGGAGAGGATAAAGGACATCACTGACATAACAGCTTGTACAATGCATGGAGTTGTGAAAAGTAAAGAATTTAGAAGTGCGGGTAGCTTGGTCTTGCATAGGGTATTTGTGGTAACAGGATAGAGGATGAGGCCTGAATGGAAGGAAGGAGCCCAGTGGTTCATGGCTGTAATTGCTGTGTTAGGCAGAGTTTAGAAGACTGTCCCAGAGATGGTTCTTGATCTGTGTTAACACTTTTCAAATAATAAGTTAATGAAAATTGAGTAAACGTCACTAAATTCCTTAAGTTTACTGTGTATTTCCAGATGACAGAATAATCATATTACTTCATGTTTATAATATCATTTTGATGATTCATGGGCCTGATCACTTAATAAGTTACTCTTACATAAACGCATTTAGTTCTATTCCTTTTTTTAAAAAGTTTTTATTTAATTTGAGAGAGAGCGCGCGCACGCACAAGCAGGAGGCGGGGAGGGGAGGAGGGAGAGGAAGAAGCAGATTCCTCGCTGAGCATGGACCCAACATGGGGCTCAATCCCAGGACCCTGAGATCATGACCTGAGCCAAAGTCAGACGCTTAACCAACTGAACCACCCAGGTGCCCCAGCATTAGCTTATTCTTAATCAGTTTTATTGAGATATAATTTACTTGCAACACCAGTTTTATATGTAGAACTCACTGAGTTTTGGACAAATGTATAGTCACATAACCACCACTCTTCTAATCATGAGATAGTATATTTTCATCACTCTGCATTAGCTTTTAATTAGATTTTGATAAACTAAATAAATTAACTCTTTGAACCCTAACCCTGGAAGATGTAGTCTTGGAAGAACAGAGAAATGAAAAGCCATCAACCCATAAAACCCAATCACAAAGAGAAGCTCTGTATAAACGCTCCTTTTGGGGGGTTTTATCTCTTGAAATCATCAGAAGGAAAAGGAGGAAGTAAGAAGCAATAGTAAGAAGTTGTCTACAAAGTGACTGGTGTAATGTTATATAAAAATGTTTGAGGGTGGAGGAAGAAAAAGCACCAAGAACACAAAACCACAATTTTAAATACTGAACTGGAAATCTCAGACTTGAGTTCTAGCAAACAGCTCTGACACTTAACAGAGTTCTAGAAGCAGTTTCACTTTTCTGAGGTCTTGGTTTTCTCACTCATCAAATGGGGGACTTGAACAGCATATTCCAAGCTGTATTATGCAGAACTAGAGTTTTGTGAGGTGTGGATAGGAGTTACAGTTTGAGGACAGGAGAATTAGGAATTAGGGCTAAATATTAAATTGGGGGAATAGCTGGGGTTAGGTTTTGATGCCAGCAGATAGGGGAGAAAGTGCATTTCCTCTCTTCAATTGTATTTCCATATATTCATCTGACCTTTTATTGACTGATTGTATTGAAGGTTAGGACACTTTGGAAAAACTATTCTGTAATTTTGCCTTGCAACTGTGATTCAGTATGAAGAGGGATGACTTTCTCCAGGGGAGTGAATATTGTCATTAAACAATTAAAGATTTCTTTCCTGGAAGTTACTGCGTTTAGGAATAAAATATATGTTTGGATATGAGAGATATGAGGGTTTGTAATTTTAAACAATTATTTAATCCATCTTATTTGTTTGTTTTAACCAGTTACCCATGGGTGTATTGTTTCCACAATAAAACTTTTTCTACCAGATGGTATGGAAGCCCGACTCCGCTCAGAGTGAGTATAATTTAGTGCTATGAACTTTTTGTATTAATTACCTTGGTTAATAATATTGTAGGTGATGGTATACAGTTACATTTCAGGATTATTCTAATAATGGTAGAAAATTAATGCAGTACTTTTAGAATATAATATACTTCATTTTAATTCTTTTTCACATTAGCTACAATTCTAGTAAATAATGTATAATGAGGCACAGATTATTTTGTTTCCAAATTTAACTTTACAATTTATATTTTGATGGATAATTAGTTGTTTTTCAAAATATTTAGGGTATGTAAGTTACTGGTGAGTGATAACTGTATTTTGACCTGCATTTAATATAGGACTTCTTAAACTGTGATTCCCTGTGAAGTTAATGCCGGTGTCATGATCTTTTAGGACCTTGAGGATGTTGATACAGTTAGTAGCCTATTTTGGTGGGAGTTTTGGAGGGATTTTCCAAGGCTGTATTTTTTTTCCCCCTGAAGTAGGGAAAGATCACTTAGAGGAGGACAAACTTGAAAAGGAAGAATTACTCATAAAATGTAAATGTTAAAATCTAAATATAAGTACATTTTAATCTTGTGCTTTTCACAGGTTATCATTATGTAGTAATTACTAATTAAACCTAAGCATTTTTTATTTGTGGGGCAAGAAGCTTCTTTCTATACCCAACATAATATTTTTTATCCTTCAAAAGTAAAGACAAAGATCTGAGGGTGGGAGGTTAAGATAAGCAGTAAGTTTAGGGCAAAGTAGAACGTGAGTAGAAAAGAGAGAATGAAAAAGAAAGCAGAGAGAGGCCCTCCTATCACTATGACAGTCTGTGCTTTCGTTAGGCTTACTATATATTTTGCTTCAGTTAGATGCTACCAATTTTTTTTTTTTGGCTTTAAGCATATCTGAAACAAAGCAAAAATTTTTAAACATTTAAAGGTAAAACAGTGTTTCCTATTCTATATCATAGTTTAATTATTTTTTTCATAGTTTAAATATTAAAAATACAGTTAACTTTGGGAACTTTAATGTGACTCAGGAGTCAAGGGTTAAGTTTTTAAAAATAAGAGTAACTATTAATCAACTAATGATGTGTGGTTTCTTAAAGACCATGATGTTTGTGTGTGATAATGAGATTTTTCTCCCATGGAGTTAAAAGCTTTGAGCAGTTACATAAAGGGTTATCTGTGGTCTCAGGTTCCTTCCAGGAGGACATGTAAATTTTTCAAAGTCTGTGTTAGTGAATTGTGTCCTTATCGTTCTTGTTTCCCCAGTGCTTTTCATCTTTGCCCCCTGTGTCCTCCTCATTGTTTGTTTTTTCTCATGTGGTTAAATATTAGTATTTAAAATTTTGCTGCCGGTTTCATTGTACACCGTCTGGCTGACTTTCTGGAGAAGATGAATTTTGGACAGACAGTTCTCTAGAGCTGGTAGAAGATCAGAATGGTCTTTAGAGGTGGAGAGTCTAATTCAAAGCCCAACTCCACCTGTTCTGTCCTGATCAGGCCTCCCTTTTCTCATTTGAAAAATGAAGATAACAATAGTACCTACTAAGCAGGAATTTTATGAGGAGGTTTAAGCAAGGTTATTCACTTAAAGAGTTTTGTGTAGTACCTGGCATATATTAAGCACACGATGATCATTGGCTGTTTCTGTTACTGTAATCTTTTTTAGCAATCAAGATAACATTTGGGTATGCCAGAATGCTTAGAATTTCAGGTATATTATATACATAGCATTTAATGCTTTTAAGATCCTCACTAGCTAATTCAAAAAGCTAGTTCTTCTTTCTTCCTTGATTTTATTATATTGCACAAATAATTTTTTTTAACTTACCTCTCTATCCAACATAGGGCTCAAACTCACGACTCTGAGATCAAGAGTCACATGTTCTACTGGCTGAGGCGGCCAGGCACCCCTGCACAAATAATTTTTAAATGATAACAGAGAAAAATGGCCTATAATCCCACCATCCTAACACTAAATAGTGGTTTTCCTTTTCTGTATTCCCTTGTTGCATATGAACTTTTTCTGTAATTCAAACAAAATACACCCTTATCCAGGCTAGTTTCTGTAAAATACATATATATATGTATTCCTTATGGAATGTTTAGCTCGATTTTTAGCCTTTTGTTAACCAAATTTTCATAAGAACAGAAAATTTTGTACTTGGGTCACTAAGAAAACTGGATTTAAAAAAAATCGTGTACTGTTTGCTTCCTTTTAGATTTTAAATTCATTTGCCTATATGTGCATATCTACAGAGAAAAATAAATATATCTCAAGTGGTTATCTCTAGGTGCTGGCATTAGGTAATTTTTATTTCCTCATGCTTTACATCGCACATTTTCTATAATCAATATGTATTGCTTGTATAGTCAAGAAAAAGAAGGTTGTGTTCAAACTGTCTATTCCATATTTATAGGGTAGAGAGAAAAACTAAAGTTGGTGTAAGTTTTGAAACCTTCATTAGGCGTGGGTGCCTGGGTGGCTGAGATGGTTAAGTGTCTGCCTTCGGCTCAGGTCATGATCCCGGAATCCTGGGATCGAGTCCCTCATCGGGCTCCCTGCTCCTTGGGAGCCTGCTTCTCCCTCTGCCTCTCTCTCTCTCTCCCTCTCTCTGTCTCTCATAAATAAGTAAATGAAATCTTAAAAAAAAAAACAACAACCTTCATTAGGCGTCAGCTTTGCTAGGGTCTTGTGATAGGTTCTGGGGATCCAGAGGTAAATTGGTCACAGTGCCTGGCTTCCTTAGCTGCTCTGTTCTCATGGGAGTGGTAGTAGGATCAAGTGCTGCTATGTCCTAGGTACTGTTGAAAGCGATTTCTATTAACACATATAATGCTCACAGTTACTCTATGGGGTTGTTTTTGTGATTACCCTCATTTTATGGATGAGGAAGCTGAAGACCTATAGTGCTTAGGTAAACTTGCCCAAGATTACACAGTTGGTAAGTAGAGCCAGAATTTGGGGTCAGTCAGTATGGCATCTGAGCCTGCATGCTTAACTGTTATACTACACTGCCTGTCTGTCATTAGTACTTTATAAGGCCCAAAAAGCAATTAGTACCAATTATACTGTTTACTGCTTAGTTTTAAAGAGATACACCGAGTTTAGTTTCATACCTACATCTCAGCTTTCAGTTGTTAGTGTGTGAGGTGGCTGAGTAGAGAATAGTAATACTGTTTGGTTAGCTAAAGTTGTTCTCCGCTAGAACAAGTTTCCAAATTATAGCTTTCTTTCTAGTAGAACTTTGGTTTTTAAGACTTTGTGTATAGGAATATTTAATTTTAAAAAAAGACATAATTTGCACATTCCAAAATTAAAAATGGATAATTTAAAGAGAGCTTCTTTTCTATATAGAAATTTATAGCCATGGAATTCACCAGAGCCCTCATTAAATAGTGGATCTTCAAAGGGCATTTAATACATTTTGAGTTTTGAATTTGTGTTTAGAAATATATTATGTGTAAAAAGTAGATTTGTATATTTATTACCTTGTTTTCTAAGAATTCTATGTATTCATGAAGAATTAAAAAGTAATTCACGGTCTTTTAATTATATGACAGCAAGTGTATCAACTTTGGGGTTTAGATATTCTGGTACTGTTATACTGTTTCCTCTGTTGTCAGGAAATTAGATAAAAAAATTCTAAATTTTACTTTTCAGTGTCATCCACGCTCCATTGCCAAGTCCTGTTGACAAAGTAAGTTACTAATTATTTTTTCTAAACTAACTCGGTTATATTGCTTTGGAAAATGTTTTTGTTTTTAATACGCTTTACCTAGAAACTTACTTTTCTTCTGTAACAAATTATATACAGTGTATGTAGGTATTTGGTTTTTGCGGTCTTCTGGAGAATTTAGGATGGATGTTTCTGAGGAGGAAACCTTTATTATCTCAAGTAAATGGCCGATTGTATAGACTAGGAGCACTTGCTTTGTGCCTAGCCAGAGAACGAAGTGTTAGTTACTACTTTTTATTCTGGAATACAATTCTGTTTAGAAATATCTGTTGAAGTTTTTTGCCCAAATAGTTCACCCAGCATATATCTACACATAGAAATAACAGAAATATGGGTTTACAGAAATTGCTCTTTTATTGTCCTTGAAAATTAGTTTCAACCTGATTTGGTCAGAAAATCTGCAATAATTACTTGTTAGTATTTTTCCCTTTGTTCAGAAATAATGGTGTAATAAACTGTAGATATCATTGCTAAATAGCAAAAAATATATCTATATCTTTTGACATTAATGTGAATGGTTTTTCTTAGTGTGCTAACTAAACTATTGGAAAAATATTTTACATTTTTTTCTTCCATTTGGATAAAGACTGAAAGCCTGCCTGAAACTGAAGTTCTGTTAGATTCCTTTTTTAGAAGTGAAAGTAGTTGATCATCAACCTCAGTAATACCAAGAATTATTTCAGAAATAAATAAAGGCCTTGCCAATTTAGAACTAACTTTTGAAAATAATGTCACTTCTCTGAATTCTAGTTAGCATATTAATAAAAATATACTTTCTGAACTTAATCAGGAATGATGCTATTAACCTCATTAATGTTAATACATAAGGCTTGGTAGTATTGAGGATATGGGTAAATGTTACAGCAACCTAATAATTTCTTCTTTTTTGGGGGAGGGTGAATAACGCCATGGTTCTGTGTTCCACACTTGGGAAGAACCCCTTATTGAAAGTATTTCTTCTAATATTCTTGAGTTCTAAGTATTTTTTCTGTGATTTGTAATTTAAACACCATTATTTCCCATCTTTTTCTTCTTAAACCTACCTGTAGTTTAAAGAAGAAGAAAAAAAGACAAAGCTATTTGCTTGCTTGCTTTCTCTTTCTTTGTTTCTACCTTCCTTCTTTTCTTCCTTCCTTTTTTTAAGACAAATCTATTTTCATTGCCTCTGGCCATTGGACAAAGTGTTATATTTCATGTCCTGTCTCTCCCTGCACCCCCACATACAACTCCCATTTTGAGGATGGCTACTTCTAAAAGAATTGTGACTTGTTGGAGTATTGAAGAATTATTTAACAATGAATTTTAAAGGGGATAAATATATACTCATTGATTTAGGACGTATTATTTCTGAATTAAGAAAGGGCTGTATTGCTGTTGTGCTGTGTTTGTGATTTTGTTTATCAAGGAATGTTTGCATGAGCGGTACTCGTTCCACCACTCTGCTTATAAATCTCAGACTGGTCAGCAAAAAATAATACCATTTACAAATTCTAGACATGAGACAGAAATATTTTGAAAACGGAAAGAACTCATTAAGCTGAAAAATAATTTTTATTTTGCATATTTCAGTAAATAGACATTTCAAGGACTTGGTTTGGCTTTAATGTCTTTTATAAACGTTTGTGTGACTGTTGGTACTTGTGTCATTTGTTTCTAGGTTGCTGCTAACACTCCAAGTATGTACTCTCAGGAACTATTCCAGCTTTCCCAGTATCTACAGGTAAAAGTAAATCTTAAAAATTCTTAGTTTTTAAAAGTAGAATTAAACAACTTAGATTTGAATTTGCTATTTCACAAATATAGGCTAAATTAATATTGACTGGATACAAATACAAAAGAAGTATTTCTCAAAGTTAAAAAAAGGATTTAAACTAGGTCTTGTGGGGGCGCCTGGGTGGCTCAGTGGTTGGGCGTCTGCCTTCGGCTCAGGTCGTGATCCCAGGGTCCTGGGATCGAGCCCCGTGTCGGGCTCCCTGCTCCGCGGGGAGTCTGCTTCTCCCTCTCCCACTCCCCCTGCTTGTGTTCCTTCTCTGGCTGTGTCTCTCTCTGTCCAATAAATAAATAAAAATCTTTAAATAAATAAATAAATAAATAAATAAAACTAGGTCTTGTGCAGAAAGGATAAAGAGTCAGGATCATGGGGACGCCGGGGTTCCAGAATGTTAAGCATCTGCTTTTGGCTCAGGTCATGATCCCAGGGTCAGTCTTGGGACCGAGTCCCGCATTGGGCTCCCTGCTCCGCAGGGAGCCTGCTTCTCCCTCTGCCTGCCGCTCCCCCTGCTTGTGCGCTCACTCTCTCTCTCTCTGGCATATAAATAAATAAAATCTTTAAAAAAAAAAAAAGAATCAGGATTATTAAGTCTAGAAAAGATAGGGGTCTGTACAAGAGAAGTTTGTTTTTTTTTTATTCAGGTATGAGGAAGTTTCAAAATAGTTCTTTATTCATAGATGACTTTTAAATAAAATAAAACCTGGAGAGATCTTGGGTGCTTAGTATAATATTAATAGCAAATGGTTATATAGCACTTACTATATGCCAGACTCTAGTCTAGCACTTTACCTCTATTCATTTAATCTTCAGAACAATCCCATAAGGTACATATTTTATTTCCATTTTTTTTTAAGATTTTATTTATTTATTTGAGAGAGAGAGAATGAGAGACAGAGAGCACGAGAGGGAAGAGGGTCAGAGGGAGAAGCAGACTCCCCGCTGAGCAGGGAGCCCAATGCGGGACTCGATCCCGGGACTCCAGGATCATGACCTGAGCCGAAGGCAGTCGCTTAACCAACTGAGCCACCCAAGCGCCCTTAATTTCCATTTTTATAGATGGAGTAACTGAGAGCCTGGAAGGTTAAATAATTTACATAGTATTACACACCTACTCTGTGGTAGAGATGGAATTTGAACCCAAACAGTCAGACCTCAGAGTCTCTGCCCTTAACCACTATGCTGTGCTACTGGATCTGATGAAATGGGCTCCTAAAGAAGTTAGTACTGTATTTAAAGAGCCATAGAAATCTCCAAAAAGGAAATAAGTGGCTTTTTTTTTTCTCTTGATTTTGGGAGATTTGGGCTGGATTATGGTTATTATTCTGGTGAGGGAGCATGGTGAAGAAAAACCCTAGATCAGGAATTTAGAGATTAAAGTTTGTATCTTGGCTCTGCTACTGAGTTCTGTAACTTTGGGTAAATCATTTTACATGTGTAGGTCTTCAGTTGCTTTATAAAAATGATAGGACCAAACCAATGATCCTGATTCCTACATTCTTTTATAGGAATCAGTCACTAAGAGCAGTTCTCCCTCAGTTAAGAATGTACAAGTCTGAAAATTGTCAGAGTATTAATCAGATCCTACCTTCCACTGGTCATTATGTAATGGTGCATAGAAAAGCCATTTTACACATTTGCAGTTTAGTAGAATGTCTAAAAGCATAGACTCCAGCCAGAATTCCCTGGATTTGGTCTGTGGCTTTAACGTCAGACCTTTTCAGACGTTTAACTTCAGAGCCTCATTTTCTTCATCTATGATGTGGGTATAATAGCATGTACCTCACAGAATTGTGAATCAGTATATGTAAAGCATTTAGAACAGTGTGTCACATACAATGTATGCCATACATGTCAGCAGTTGTTTACCACTCAGTAGAAAGACATGCTGGTTGACCTAGATCTCTCTTATTTTTAGAGGTAGAAGAAAACTTTGAGATTAATCTTGTCTAACCTCCATTTTTTTTAACCTCCATTTTTCTATGAGAAATATGAGGCTCATTATAGGTAAAATGATTTCCTGAGTCTATACACTGTACAGTTACCAGTCATCATGGACTGTGGGTCTAATGCCCTGACTCATTCCAGTACTTTTTCCAATTTTGTCAGTTCTTTGAATATTCATAGTGGGCATCATCTTTCACTGTTCTTGTCTGGTTTTTGAGAGAAGATTATACTGTGCTATCTTTTCTGTATACATCTTTCTGAATTGCTAAAGTTCTAATGTAAATATTTTGAGTAAAAACTGAATAGATATGTTCCATGCCTTAGAACTAAAAGTTATTCCTGGAAGTATTAGATTTCTGTTAGGATGTGGTTCATGGAATTATGAAACTCTAAATGGAATTGAGTTTAAAAAAGGTGAAATTACACCATCTAGTGGAAGTAGTGATTGTTTGGTGGTTTTGTTTTTAAGTAAAACTTTTTGCAGCATTTAATGTTAATTTCCTGGATATTAGTAGTGTTTTAAGAGCTTAAAATAAACTTGGCAACCAGTCTCTTGTAAGTGTAAGCTGTATTTTATGGCTTTTGTTACATTCCTGAATCTATACTTTTAATTTGTTTATTTATTTATTTTAAGGATTTTATTTATTTATTTGACAGAGAGAGACAGCATGAGAGGGAATACAAGCAGGGGGAGTGGGAGAGGGAGAAGCAGGCTTCCCACTGAGCAGGGAGCCTGATGTGGGGCTCGATCCCAGGACCCTGGGATCATGACCTGAGCAGAAGACAGACGCTTAACCAACTGAGCCACCCAGGCGCGCCAAGAGTTAATTTTAAAAAATGGTACCTGTAGGGCACCTGGGTGGCTCAGTTGGTTAAGCGACTGCCTTCAGCTCAGGTCATGATCCTGGAGTCCCAGGATCGAGTCCTGCATCGGGCTCCCTGCTCAGCAGGGAGTCTGCTTCTCCCTCTGACCCTATCCCCTCTCATGCTCTCTCTCTCTCTCTCATTCTCTCTCTCAAATAAATAAATAAAATCTTTAAAAATAATGGTACCTGTAATTCTAATTAGATCAGATTTTCTCTAATCATTATTTACCAAGGATGTGGAGAAAAATAAATGCATACTTTAAACCTCAAATATTGTCTTTGAAGCGTATCCTTCTTTTTTGAGGTGGCTCCAGCGGTATTAGGGTAGTAAGTGTTCTTCTTTGGCTAATGACAGGAATAGAAGAAAGTGAAATTTGAAGATGTGCCATAACCACAGCTGAATGCTGTATGAGCATTTTCACCTTGACTTCTAGTGAAGGAGACCCTCTTAACAGCTATCAAGTGTTAACAAGTGACCTAGAGCTAAGGGTTTGCTTGCTAATGTCCTTCTCTGTAAAAAATATCCCTTTGGAGCTGCCAAATGGTTATAGAACTCCTTGACCCCTTATTACATTGGTGGACTCTTACTTATTTTTGGCATATTTGATTGCTGCTAAGTGGTGTACAGTCACAAAGAATCAGAACACCTGAAAATGCAAGAAATTGTGAAACAGTCTCTCTCCTTATATATATTTATATATATGTAACATTCTTAAAAGGAAAAATTAAAAGACATTTCTATTTTGGATGTCATACTCATGCAGCTAAGCCATTGAGAAGGATCTTTGCTACTGACCAGATTGTTTGTCTTAGTTTGAAATGAGTTTGTTCTGAAAAATATGTATGTATTTTTAAAAATTTACATATATACATATATATATATAATTGGAAATGGAGGGTTTTATATAGATATATAAAATGTAGCATTAAACATTTGTTGGATTCTTCTGGGTTTCCTTTTTTTTAAAACTCTTGTGAATTATGACTAAAAGGAAAACAAAAACAGGGCACTTGTTTTCTGTTAATAGGGGAAGGTGCAGCTCAGTACCCCTAACAGTCCAGGAAATGAGACTAAAATGATATGGCTTATATATATTTTACAAGGTAGATTTATCAGGTTTGAAAGTAAGATACAGAGTGGGATGTAAGATGAGAATATTTTCAGAATGTACTTTGATTTCTCTTCAAAGATCATGCTGAGTTTATTAGAATCTCTTTTGTGATTTATACTATTAGGAGGCCTTACATCGGGAACAGATGTTGGAACAGAAGTTAGCCACACTTCAGCGGCTACTAGCCATCACCCAAGAGGCTTCAGATACCAGTTGGCAGGTATTCCAGTTGCCTTTATATACAAGGAGTATTTAAGTATAGTTTAATATCCCTTAGATGTTGATTAAAAGTGAAATTTTTTAGCAGGCAAAGGCAAACTTATTTCTTAATGACCAAATATTGAAAATTTAGCATTTTACAGTGGATGTTGGTCAGTTTTATGATTTCATATCTTTTTCTGGCAGTAGCAACCTTTTTGATATGTGTAATTTTTTAATTACCCTGGGATTTTATTTATATTTAATTTTTCTTCAACAGGCTTTAATAGATGAAGATAGACTCTTATCACGGTTAGAAGTTATGGGAAACCAATTACAGGCATGCTCCAAAGTACGTATTAATCTCAAGTAAAGATCCATAAAGAAAAATGCATTAACTATGCATGAAAATGCATAGTTTTTTATGTAGCTTCATTTCTTTGTCATTTTGAGTACATGCTAAAACATTTGTATGTTTTCACCATTCTTTTAAATCTTTTGTTAGATTCCTTAATCTATACATTAGATTATGTATAGTCATTAGTCATTAGAGGAAATTTCAAACATACATTAAGGAGAAAGAACTGTATATTGAATACCCATATACAACTCTTTCTTTTTTTTCTATCACAGTTGATATTTGCTGGAGAAACTGGGTCATTTGTCCTCTATAATTTCCCTAAATCTGGATTGTTATTTACACATTCTTCTAGCTCTCCTCCCACACCATAAACTGGTAGTTTGATCTAGAGATTTGATCTGATTAGGTTCAACTTTTTTTCCAACAGTACTTCATGAATAGTATTGTGTACTTTCACCAGAAGGCACCATAATATCTAGTTGTCTTTCTTTTTGAGATATTAGCAATCTTTGATGATCCTTGCCTAGATCCATTATTAAGGCTTGCAAAAATGGTGATGTTGTAGTTGTTATTTCTTCATTTATTAGCTGGATTACTTCTATAAATACTTCTATTCCCCCTCATAAACCATTTTGTTACCCTGAAGTCATTTTCTTTAGGAAAAGGATAAGTGATTTTCTCCATTTATTTACTGAATTTCAAAATAATGAGTTGGTTCCTTCTCATCTACCAAAGAATGACCGTGAAGTTTTTTTTTCTCCAAACTTAGATTTAAATATATTTCATGTGTTTCGGCCTGTTCCATTTGTTTGTGGTTATTGATGCTCAAATTATCCCATCTTTGGTTCCTGAGTCCTTTTGGTAGAACCCTAGCAAACTTTGATAGCTTCCTGCTGTCATTTCAGACAAGGTGTTCCAGACTCATCTTGTACATTTCCTGCCTCAGAGCTGGAGTCAGCTTTTTCCTAAGGGTGCTCTTATTCCTTTTGGTTTAACCATTGTTTTAAAATGCTTGGCCCCTTTGAAAGTAAGAGATTATTTTTACTGACAAATGTAAATATTGTGACTTACAGAGAATATGACAGATAGGAGACTTAATTCATTTTGTACATTTGAAAGAAATTCTCAATTTCCTTTGACATTTTTTTTTCTATCAGAAGTGTGGATTAATATATTTGTGAAGGTATAATTTACAATGCAACTTTTAAATACATCATTTGTATTTGGAAGTACCTTAATGTAGAATTCAAAGAGCATCATAATGTGTTATTTTTTCAAATGGTAAATACTTAAAAAAATTACTTGGCTATAATTATAAATATCTTCTAATCCTAGAATCAAACAGAAGATAGTTTACGGAAGGAACTTGTAGCATTACAGGAGGATAAACACAACTACGAGACGACAGCCAAAGAGTCCCTGAGGCGGGTTCTTCAGGAGAAAATTGAAGTGGTTAGAAAACTTTCAGAAGTTGAGGTATTTCATTTTAACAAATATAAAATGTAGTATGATTTAAAATTTTTAGCCTAAAAGTGCTAATATTTTAGGACATTTTAAACTTGAGTATTATATAGTTAGGAAATATTTCCTGTCTATCAAATGGGAAGGGATAGTAGGCTGTTTTCATTGTTAGGAATTTTCCTTGTAATCATGTGAGTCTGGTGCTTGTTGTTTCTACTCAGTGACTGAGCAAATAAAAGCCTAATCAGAGGGAGTCTTAACCATGTGCATTCTGCTTAGGATTTGGCCTCTCACACAATGGACTGTGATATGTGCCAGGGAATTGATCTCCTGTCACCTAGTTTTTGCTTTTCTTCCAATTGAGGGTAGTTAGTGGAAGGTGGAGAACCTTACCACTGTTATTTACCCATCCTCTAGAGAAGAAAACTGTGTCTAACTTTGGAGGTCAAAGGGAAAATATCTCTGAGGTCCTTTCTTGGTCTTTTAGGAACAATCACAATGTGATTCTCATTGCTTTAAAAACAACCTCATTAATAATGTAGGTCATTCGTTGAACCACTGCTAAATTACCACAGAAGTTAATTGTTAATGATTTAGTTAAAATGCCCATTGTAAACAATAGTAAAAATACTATATATAGTATATAGTATATACTCTAGAATATGGTATAGTAATGGTTTCTATAATAGCCTCATCCCATAGTAACTAATTCAGTGTTGTGTCATTAATTTGACATGCAAGGAAAGAAAATTGTTAACTGTCTTCTAATTTTCTTATTAAGTTGATTGTGCCTATTATTAACTTGCTTTCAAGAATTGATAAGCTTAAAATATTTTCAAGTCTAAAAGTCATACCCAGTGGCCTTTTAAAAGAGTAGTTATGTAAGTGACATCCTTTCCTTCCCTGCTCCCTTTCTGTTGTTTTGTTTTTCAAATTTTTTGTTGTATTTTCTGTTTTAGCATGTACCTAAAGTAAATTAAAATTCTTATGTTGTTTAACTCTTATATAAAGGCCAGGGCAGATGTTAATTTTGAACAGCCCATAGAGATAACACTTTTTATAAGTTGAATTTAGAATGTGCATTTATTCTAAATCAATTATCTGTAAACTTGAATTACAGCGAAGTCTGAGTAATACTGAAGATGAATGTACCCATCTTAAAGAAATGAATGAACGGACTCAGGAAGAATTAAGAGAATTAGCCAATAAATATAATGGAGCAGTTAATGAGATTAAAGATTTATCTGATAAATTAAAGGTATGTATTTACTAAACCTGAAAGTGTATTAATAGTCCCTAACACACTGGATAGATTAAGAGGTTAGGTATTGCTGAATAGTTGTTGATGTAAAATTTGGTAGTAGTTGAAATTTGTAGTAAAAATAAGGTGCCATTTGGCCCAAACCCCATTGCCAAAGATAATTGAAAGTCTGTAAAAGCCGACATATTTTCTCTGGTTGGAAATAAATAGTACTTCACAACAGGCATCTTTTAATATATAACAGGAAGTAGATGTAAATCAGCAAACCAGGGCGCCTGTGTGGCTGAGTCATTAAGTGTCTGCCTTCGGCTCAGGTCATGATCCCAGGGTCCTGGGATCGAGCCCCGCATCGGGCTCCCTGCTCTGAAGGAAGCCTGTTTCTCTCTCTCCCACTCCCCCTGCTTGTGTTCCCTCTCTCGCTGTATCTCTCTCTGTCAGATAAATAAAACTTAAAAAAATAAAATAAAATAAATCAGCAAACCCCAAGATATTTAGACTTTTTAAAAATTTGAATCTGCTTAACCTTGGGCAGGCCCAAAGGCAGAGCCCAACTATGTTAGTGCTGGAACAAGCCCAGAAGTAGCCTTGGAGTGATCTGTATGGACCCTCTAGCCTCCAGGGATGCTATTAACGGCTTCAGCTGCAGCTCCCTCTAGCTATAGGGCATTTAGGGTAAGACAGGTGAGGCCATACGTAATGTCAAGTTGGTCCTTTAAATGTTATAACTGAGTTTGTGAAGACCCATCTTTAAATAATTCAAACCATGGAATGAGTGGCTAGAAGATACATATTTGTTAGAGAAGACCAGGGCATACCTCCCTCTGTGTGGTTGGTGAACCTGTAATAGTTTTAAAGGTTGGTCTTATTAAAAGGAGGTCATTTTGAAAAGTGCTTATTATCAGCATTCCTTCAACTAAACACAGTTTTGTTTAAAATATTAGAGTTAGTTACATTTTAGAACTTAAACTAATTAAACAATAGTAATTTCAGGGAAAACCTTATATATTTCCCTCTTGAAAACTGTGGAGTTTTTCATTTTGACCCCCTTATCTGTATGTATTAGGCCTATTTGCCTGCTGCAAGTTTTTTTTTCCTAGGTGATAGGGAAGCATGACTTCAATGCAGACCACTTTTGACATTATTTTGACATTTACAAATATGTTCTATAATATTGAATATTCTCCTTAGAAGTTTATGGTGAATAAAAGCATTCCTGCTTTAGGCCTCTGAAAGCAAGTTCAGACTTTATGAAATAACTGAAATTTTTTTTCTTTCTCAACAGGTAGCAGAGGGAAAACAAGAAGAAATCCAACAGAAGGGACAAGCTGAGAAAAAAGAATTACAACATAAAATAGATGAAATGGAGGAAAAAGAACAGGAGCTCCAGGCAAAAATAGAAGCTTTGCAAGCTGATAATGACTTCACCAATGAAAGGCTAACAGCTTTACAAGGTAAGTTGCTAATCCAGAAGTTGATTTGATTTGATTTTTTTTTCTTTTATCTGTGAAATATCTTTTTCTTGGACTTCTATTTACAGTACGGTTAGAACATCTTCAGGAGAAAACTCTTAAAGAATGCAGCAGTTTAGGTAGGTGTGTTACCGAGTTTCTTATTTAAACCTGAATTTTATCATTGGACTTTTGATGTTTACTCTCTCATGGGGTACTTATTTTAAAAGGGATATTTTATGTTTTAGGTATAAAGTATCTACAGTCTTTCAGAAAATTTCCTTTAAAAATATGCTTGGTTGCCACCAGTGGGCACCATTGTTTAGTCCTTGAGATAAATGAAATTTCTGCATCTGAGATGCTCTACTTAGAGATACTTAAATAAGAAAAATACATGCACAGCAGGATCCTTTTCTTTTGAGGTCTGTTAGAAGGCAATTGTAGCTTTTTCTCTGAGTGGATAGAAAATGTCCTGTTGAACCCTTCTTTTAAAAACAAATTTAAAGTGTGCTATACTGTCTTAATGGTAAGTAGGAATACAAAATGCCATGGTTACACTTGAGACCAGTTTTAAAGTAACACTTTCTTTGATCAGGCAATGATACACTGTCTTAATCCTAGGGATACAAGTTGATGACTTCTTACCTAAAATAAATGGGAGCACAGAAAAAGGTAGTGTAAAAAACTTAAATGTTTTTCTTTCATGATATCCTTTTACTAATTTAAGCAGGATAGAGATAGATCAGCGTTTTAAGGTTTTAAATGTTTGGAATGAAAAGCATGCAGTTCATAGACCAGTGAATCCCAGCTTTAAAAAAAAAAAGCTTCCCTTTATTTTGTAATTCTTAATGCTATGATTTTTGGTTAGATATCCCTTGTTATATGGAAATTTTAATTATTCAAGTAACAGGAAAATTATAAAGTTCAACTTTAGCATTGGTTTATATAGCATAGTATAGCATTCTCCCCAGTATATTTTTCAAAGAACCCGACTACAATTTTCTTCCATCAAGTATTGTTTCCTGAGATATTGGGCCTCCATTTTTAATGTTTGTATCCCGCTCCATCCTCGGCCAAGAGTTTACTTAACAGCACATTGAGCTCTTGGATATGTCATAGAACTGCTTTCTTTATACTGTACATCTGTTTCTTTAATCAGAAAAAAACAGGATCAGTCATTTCTGCTATCTGAAAAGTCATTTATTAGTTAATGATTAGTTTATTGGGACCCTTCTTTCTGGATAGCTTGCATTATCTCTTGCCAAAAATGTATAGCTACTCTTGGTTTTCCTGTTACTGACTGCATGGGGTACTTTTTACCCAATGGCTTGTACATTCCTTCAGTTGTGAAGATCCCCATTCATCCTCCCCCATTTCCCTCCATCTAGCATTAACTGAGCACCAGCTATGTGCCAGATCCTGCATTAGATTCCTTAAGTACAGAATGAATAAAATTATTTTCTGTATTTACAGATCTGTGTACCTCTCATTTTAGTTTTTATACAGAAGTTAGTGGAAGATATCAAGGTCAATACTCAGAACTTCTTATTAAATATTTTTTTCATGTATCAGGGGATATCTTTATAGTTCTTAGGGCAGCAGCCAACTCTGATAAAGTTAGGAGGTGCCTTTTTGTTCTTGTTTTTGTGTGGTTGGTTTTCAATCAGGAACCGGCAAGATAGGCTCAAGTAATCATGTATATGTGAGCTGTAAGCTCAAGACCTAATATTACGTATGTTCTGTAACAAATCTTGAAACTACATTAAAAGTTATTGTCATTAATCATTGTTACTTGACTATTCTATATGTGTTTTATAAAATACATCTACATTTTAGAATTCCAGTTTGAGTTGCAATTCAAGAATTTTTTTAAAGGTGTAGTTTATATTCATTACTAATATTACTAATTTCTGTTTATTATATTTAGCAAACATATATAAAATGATTTAATCCTCATCTTCTAAAAGCTTGTCATTGTTAAATGAATTTTTATTTTTTGTTGTCATTATTTGCCTTTTTTTTTTCTTTTTCTGGCATGGGCACTTTTTATTCCAATTCATCACCATTTTCATTTAAGCATGTATTTATTAATAATGTATAACTCAAGCTTGGAACATGCTTTTCCTTCAGTTAAGAGAATCCCTTTATATACACTAAATCATCTTTATATTATTTTAGAGTTGTCAGATTACTGCTTAAAATTTTTTGCCAATTCCAATTGATTTAGATGAGAATAGTTATAGACAACTCCTTGATTTAAGACTGAATAAGGTATTTTGGATACTTTAGTGTACTTCTTACCATGATTTTTTTTTAATTTATTTTTTTAATAATTTTTTTATTATGTTAATCACCATACATTACATCATTAGTTTTTGATGTAGTGTTCCGTGATTCATTGTTTGCGTATAACACCCAGTGCTTCATTCAGTACGTGCTCTCTTTAATACCCATCACCAGCTAACCCATCCCCCCACCCCCCCTTACCATGTTTGTTTTATCCCTGCTGGTGTGTTTGGATTTTTAGTGGTGATAAATTGAGTGGCGTGAGAGTGACCTACAGTATATCTTTAACAAAACAGGATAGTAAATATCTTGATAATGCACAAAAACTTCATTATACCAGATTTAGTACAGAGTGACTTTGGAATAAGATGAGTCTGTTCTGAATCATTTGTTATATAATAACAAACCAGTTATCAAGCATTCCAGTATTACCAAAGTCCATAGCCACAGTATGCTATCAGATATGACTTTATCTAAAATTACTCTTTAAATAGTAGAGAACCAAGTATAGTTTTAAGAGAGTATTGTAAAAATATCTGGAATTGTTAAGATTAATGCTGTTTCTCTAGTAAACTCTATTTTTGAAATTACTTAAATCTAAAGTAGCTGCTATAAGCACAGGTTTTATACTATAAATTTTTTTGTATCTTATCTGATAAGCATAATTTGAATATGTCTTAGTATAGAAAAGCAGTAATAGAAATACTGTGAGAGCCATATATATAATTTAAAATTTCTGGTAACCACATTAAAAATATAAAAAGAAACAGGTAAAGTATTAATAATGTATCTTAATAATGTTTAATAATATATTTACTTTAACCCACTATATCAAAAATATTCTTTTAACATGTAATCAATATTAAAAGATTATAAATGAAGTATTTCACATTCTTTTTTCCTTAGTAAGTCTTTGAAACCAGTATATATTTATTTTACACTTACAACATATCTCAATTCAAACTAGCCATTTTTCCAGGACTCAGTAGCCACATGTGTATTGAGCATGTGTATTGGACAGCACAGGTAGTATAGAAAATCAAAATTTATAGGAAACTAGTGTATAAATAAAACACATTTTAAGTATCACAGTTCTCTCTTTTTTTTCTGTATCTTTCTTTTCTTTACATTTCCACAGCCCTATTTGGGATCTTAGACGTTCCTCCCCCTTCCCTCCTACCTTAAGTATCTGATTCTTTTTGCATTATCAGGGACATCTTTTATGGTTGGCAAAGTGAATTCCCAAGGGGCTGAATTCAAGTAATGAAGTATGAAAAGTGTCATGATCCAAATCTTTTACATATACTAGCTGAAAGACTTTTCTTTCATATCTTAGAAAATGCCTTTGTAGAAATCATATATATATTTTTATATTAATATTGCATTTTATCTAAACTAGTATTTTAAATATTTTAATCTAGAGTCCAGATATTAAAATCAGAGTAGATAAAAGGGTGATTTGGGGCTTAGAGAGTAATGGTGGGATGTACTGCATTAATAAATGTCATCTAAAGTCCTGTGATGATAGTCTGAAATTTTTGTTTCAAATAAGTTCTATTAAGTCCTTTAGGTTAAAATTTGGTTTCAAATGAGTTTTCTTATTTAACCATGATGTTGTATAGTTGGAGTTCAGAAAATGTTACTGTACCTTAGGTAGGATTTTATATAAAACAACTTTTGATCATGGTAATTACTATTTAACTGAGGGCTCCTGTTTTGGATTTCTTGGCTCCAATCAGCAAATGCTATTTATTAGATTTTTTTTTTTAATTACTGTTGCAGCTAGCCTTTTTTTCCTTTTTCTTTTTGGGGCTATATTGTATCTCTGTGTAGTGCAACTATACACACCATATTGTGTGTGTGTGTGTGTGTGTGTGTATACATATGTAAAACTGTTGACTGGAGGCTCTGTACACCATGTAAATAGATAAAGGAGAATGACAGATTTCAGTAGGAAGGTAAAGGAGATGGCATTAATAAGGATGTCAAGAGAAGTTGTGATGTGATCAGAGTAGGAGATGCCTGCCTCTCAAACAAAAGTTGAGATGATGAGGGGTGAGGTGGGTTGAAATGAGGAGAAAAGAGGCTTTCACAGTCCAAGTGGTACTAACTCATGTCCTCTTTGACAGCTTTTAGTGCTTTCACACCTTCCAGATAGTCATCATACTGGGATATATTTTTAACACTGAACTTCCAAAGTCTATTTAGTAGTTTTGAAAGATCCAGAGATATAATTGAAGGATGTTATCCAAATTCAGAAGTTAACTCTTTGGATCAATGTAAATAAAGATTATTGTAAGAAAAGGGTTGAAACTTTTCTTAACTCCTGTTAGGTTTTGATTCTCTCCCCTCATTAAAACAAAACAAAACAAATTCTGTTTGACCTGAGCAAAACCATTTTCCAGGCTCTTATTTTAAAATGTATAGGCATTGACTTTAATCATTTGGGTGGAGATAAACGATGTAATATTTTGAGAGTATATAAAGTACAGATTAAATGACTCAAAGGGAAAGGTTATTTGTGAAATGAAAGTCTAAAAATTGAAATGTTGCATCAGTGTCTTAAAAATGTTAAGGCATTATTTTATGGTATTCTTAAAATATTTATCTTTTGCCTCTTAACTAAGAAAAATAGCTTTGAAGAGGGACTTTTAGAAAACAGTTATCAGCAAGAACAAATAATAAAATATAAAAATTATTTACAGGTATTTATTAAGCTGTCATGGAGAAAGGTATATTTTAAAAGTGGGAGAAGCTTTTTAAAGCAATATATCTATGGTTTTCTTGAGCTCTTTGGATAGAAACTGCACCTTTAAAAGCTAACCATTCAGGGTACAAATCAATGATTATATAATAACAGTTTTCAGTCATTGGGCTTTATTTAACTCCAAAATATGTCTGCTATTAATAGTAAAAATATATTAAACTTTTATGAATCTTATTCAGTTACTCATGTTAATACATTTCAGTTTTCCTACCTTTGCTGTTGGTTTTCAAAAAACAGCAACAAACTATATCCTTAAAGGTGTTTCTTTCTTTATTAGAGCACTTGCTTTCAAAGAGTGGCGGGGACTGCACTTTTATTCATCAATTCATAGAATGCCAGAGTGAGTACAGAGTATTTTTCACATTGATTTTAATGAAGTCAGGGGCAAAAATTGAAAAATGAGAGGAAAAATGAAGATCTCAATGTGTTTGTTATGGTAGAAGTGCACAGAGGGCCATCTTCAGACAGCAGCAATACTTTTCATACTGTTTCGGCTTCTCTCTTTGGAGAAAATTATTTTTGTGGCATTTGCCTTCAAAGATGGATTTCATATTGCCCACAAAAAAGAGGAAGTTTCAAGCTTTTAAATAAAAAATTATTGTTGAGCAGGGAATAAAATAGAATGTCAAGCACCTAAACTTTCTGTGTGGACTCTTAAGAGGTAGTAGTAACATTAGCCTGTTTTATTTAAGTTCTAGTTCTATCACAGATTTGCATTTGAAGTTCTTAAATAAATTTTGTAAATGATTAAATGAAGTCAGGAAAACAGTGATTTCATTTGGGCACTCAGATCTGAAGATGGCCCTTAGGGTAGCAGGACCTTCCTAGGGAAAGAGTAGCAATAGATTGTCCTACAGTCTGACACCAACTGCCTACCCCTGGAAGGCTATCTTTAATAATAAAGATAGGTTGGCTTTTGAGGTGATTTGGACCTCTGCTGAATTCTGAGTGAAAGTATCATGAATTCCCTCTTACTTGAAAATCACGTGACTGCTTATTTTAAATCATGAGGTTATGATAATTCTTTTGGTCTTAGTGATAATTAAAGGTCACTATGTGTAATAAACATTTATTGATGACATCTATACTTTTTCCTACCAGACATACAGTACACTTTGTTGAACATTTTTCTCTTCCTTTTCACTCTCTTTTTGAAATGAGTGACTTCCCATTTTTTATGCTTATGAGTTCATCTTGTAGACGGGCAAGCATATGTCGTTCTCTCTCCTCCCAACACACACAATCTCTGGAGCACTTGAGGCTTGTAAGGGTCACAGCTGGTAATTATAGCAGACAAACTCAGTAGATCAAATGTTATACTCCTTAGAGGTGCCTTAAGGAAACCTGGAATTTCATTTAATAGTTTTAGAAGAACTTCTATTTTTGTCCATTTTAGAGACTATGATGTTGAATGTCAGTTTGATATTATTTTGAGGAAAATTATTTAATAAATATGGCATATTTCTTTGTCTTTTAAAACTTTTTCATAGAGCAAAGATTAATCCAAGTTTTTGTTATCCTCTGATTACTAAATTTCACTTTTATGGGAAATTGACACAGGGATTTGGATCAAAATAATTGGTACCCACTGAAACCAACTAAAAACAGAATATAGAGTCTAAAATATAAATCTTTAGGAGAAGGATTTTATATTCGTTTTATTACATATGACCATTTTTTAATAAGTTATTTTTATGTTAAATTTTTGTGACTTGTATTTTGAGCCCAAAGAAATAAGAACAGAGAACTATCAAAAAAAAGACTAAGTTACAATTTGAAAAAATCATTTAAAATATTATTATAAAATATGTAAAATATTTAGCTGTAGTTGTAATATAGAATGATATTTATTTTACATTAAGAAAAAGATATTTGGAGGGGCACTTGGGTGGTTCAGTTGATTAAGCGTCTGCCTTCAGCTCAGGTCATGATCCCAGGGTCCTGGGATCGAGCCCCACATTGGGCTCTCTGCTCCTCGGGGAGCCTGCTTCTCCCTCTCCCTCTGCCTGCCGCTCCCCCTGCTTGTGCTGTCTCTGTCAAGTAAATAAATAAAATCTTTAAAAAAAAAGAAAAAGATGTTTGGAGATTTTTATTGTGTCATAGTTATCAGAGGCAAATGGACCAGTAAACGTTCAGATATAGAGCAGAAGTTATGTAAATTATAGCAGTCCCCTCAATGGGGATATTAACTAATAAAATTATGTTTATAAGAACTATGTAATAGCATGGGAAAAATGTTAAATGTGGTACATAGGGAAAAATTATAATATAAAATCCTTTTCTTGTGGACAAAGAATAAACCAAAGAACAAAAAATAAAATTAAAAATAAATAAATAAAATTCACGTATTCCTGATGTCTGAATCCACTGGGTCTCTAAGTGCAAACAGGAAGTTTGGACTATAAATTCATATAGCTAGGGATATAGCCGATTATCTGAATCTGTTCAGTTCCTGAGTTTTGGTAACAAATAGCAAGGGTTTGGTTAATGAGGTTACCAGTTCTATCTCAGAAATTTCCAAATCTGTTGGCTCCTTAAATTTGGATAGCCAGAGTTGGCATACTAAGAGTTAACTCTGATTTGTTGTCAGAAGGGATGTTTTCATTATTTTATAACAAGCTGCTGGTATAGAAATTGTTTTGTTTAATAAGTATTATGGCAAGCAAGACAAATTCAGCAAAAATCATACTCAAGTGAACTTTTGAAACAACTTTGGATTATTTTTTGATAATCTCACACAAACTTTTTTGCCATTATTTTCATTGATAGCCATCTTGAATTGATTTATAATTTTGACATGAAGTTTATATTCAGTGAGCAGTGACACTTCATATTCTTATTTCCAGTCTTTTATTTTTTTTTCAAGATTTTTTTATTTTTATGTAATTTCTACAACCCAACATGGGGCTCAAACTTACAACCCTGGGATCAAGAGCTGCATGGTCTACCAACTGGGCCAACCAGGTGCCCCTTATTTCCAGTCTTTTAAAAAGCAGATGTTAAGTACCTAGATTTCATTATTTACTGTGCTTGTTGTATAACCCAATTCACCTTGTTTTTTAAAAATTAGAAAGCAGGGGTGCCTGGGTGCCTCAATCGGTTAAGCATCTGACTCTTGATTTCGGCTCAGGTCATGATCTTAGGGTTGTGAGATTGAGCCCCTGTGTTGGGCTTTGCGCTAGGTGTGAAGTCGGCTTCAGATTCTCTCTGTTCCTCTCCCTCTGCCCCTCCCCTTCTTCCTCCCCCCCCCTCTGTCTCTCTTTGGAAAAGGAAAAGAAAGCAAATAATTCACTTCATAGGATTCATAATGTCTATTTTTAATATAGTAACAGATTTTTTCATTTTATGTATATGAATCCATAAGAGAACAGTTTAGTTTTTGGCTGTCTCCATTTATAAGGTGATTTTGACCAAATTAAGTGAGTTGGAACACATTTCAATTTGTTTTCCTTTTATGGTAAAAGAGACTTTTTTTAAAAATTCTCTTTTAGGAGAAAATCTTTTAATCCAGGCAGAGAGATTGGATTTTGAACAGATTAAAATATAACCTTTTACATAATTCCAGAACTGTGAAGTAAATTTTCTTTGTAAAAATATACCATATAAAATCTAGAATTAACAATTAACTTTCATAAAACTTGCTAAAAAGCTCTAGCAATATTTTCTCTTCAGGGATTTGAGCATGAAGTTTGATTTAAGCAGAATTCCACATTCCATGTTCCCTGCAAATTTTAGTTATTCAGGGTTTACCATGTAAACTTAACAAATAGTTGAGACTGTTGTGTTCTGCTAAAGATGCTTTTTGAGTTAACAAATTGTGCACCTCTAAATCTGTTTCATATATATTCCGTGAACTCTGTCACTTGATTGACTTATATGCTGAGTGCAAAGATAAAGGATAAAAGGTGGAGAATCTCAGGACTTAGAGATTCACCTCATGGGCATAGAGTGGAAGACTCCCTTCTCTGGACTGCTGTCTGCACTTTTAATTCCTTTTGCTACTGTTTGGGTGAGGGCAGAGGCATCACAGCTGGGTACCAAAGAAACTTTCTTCTGAAGTCTGCTTTGTGCAAACAAACTGTCTCCACCCCAAAGGGTATCTTCCTTTTGATGATTGAGTTAACAAGTGCCCTGAAATAAACCTCATGTCTTCATATTCTTAACCCATGGTTACTATGAGATTTAATGGTTTTTATTATTAGGCAAAAGTCTAATTCTCTTAATATTTCATGTCTTACTATTTTTTTTCCTGATTTAAAAAAAAAAATTCTCTCCCCGCCTCCAACTCCCCTTTTGAAATTACAGTCATTATCTGTGTATGTTTGTCTCATTCCCTCCTTTCTCTTAGGGCTTTGCTCTCACATAAAAATTGCCTTATTTGGAGTAATGCATTGAATCAGTGTTGCTCTGTGGCTGTTTACTTTTCATCACTCTATGAGATCAGCCTCTGAACAATCTCAGGAATAAGCCTGATTACATATTCTACTTGAAAACAGATTTTTAAATTTTCATCTTTTAAACTTTTATTTCTGTAAGCCAAAGCAGTTTATTTATGACCAAGAATAGGAAACATTTGGTGTGGTTCTCTGCTCTTAGTAATTTATGTCCCCATTATAGGAAAATTCTTTTTTTTTTTTAAGATTTTATTTGTTTATTTGACAGAGAGAGAGCACAAGTAGGCAGAGCAGCAGAGGGAGAGGGAGAAATAGGCTCCCCACTAAGCAGAGAACCTCATGTGCAGGGCTCAATCCCTGGACCCTGGGATCATGACCTGAGCTGAAGGCAGACGCTTAACTGGCCGAGCCACCCAGGAACCCCATAGGAAAATTTTTGAATTTAAACTAGATGTTGCTAATTCTTTATTTCTTTGAATTCAGAGTCGTTGACCAATCTAAGATATATGGGAGGGTTTTTGTTTGGTGTTTATTTGTGCCAGTCATTTTTCCCAGTCGTCTAGCTTTCCAACATTTCTATGAGGTTTTCTCCCAGCATAACTGCACAGAAGATAGTCTTAAATTTATGCCAACACTGTTTTGACATGTAGATTTTTCCTTTCTTTAAAAAAGATCTGTTTCTGTATTCTTGAAATTGGTTCATTTCCTTTAGTTTCAGTGTGTCCTTAACTCTCAATTTTTTTTTTTTATAAATACCGTGTACTAACTGATATGGATATTAAGGAGGGCATGTGGTGTAATGAGCACTGAGTATCATATAAGACTGGTGAATCACTGAACTCTGCCTCTGAAACTAATAATACACTGTATGTTAATTTATTGAATTTAAATTAAAAAATCTACCTGTCGCTCTAAAAAAAAATTCTCAATTTTTTTTCTTTCGTTC